AGGCCGCGGTGCCGGGCAGCGGTCTGTCGGGCGCTGCGTTTCGGTGGTGTCTTCCCCAAGGAATAAATAACTCCCGTCTTCAAAGCGAGCTGCCCTCGGCTCGTAAACAAGAGCTGGAAAAAGTAGCCTGGCATGTCGGGGCAGATCCAGATCAAAGGGACGGGAAGGCGGCTGTGTTTGTTTGTGGTGTTTACCGGGGGTCTTTGAAGAAAGGTCCTAAAACCCACTTTGGGGCAGAGTTGCTGTTTGTCAGCTGCTTTCCCTTGCGGGGTGCTAAACGGGTCTGGTATGAGCGCAGCCTTGACAGGGCAGGGGGGAATGTAGCATTTGCCCACTGGAGAGTGCGTGATAAATGTTTTGCCGATGACTGTACCGGTAATGTATCGGGCTCCAGCCACCCACGGATTCCCTCGCACCACTACGCTAAGAGAATGATTCCCCAGTAATTAAAGAGCTCTCCTAGGACCGAGGCACGGACAGGGACGTGTTTATCACGCTGTTGGCCGATTATACGCTGCATAGGTTGTTTATTTTTTCAAAGTGTAGTCCCAGAGACACTTTACACAAAGGGTACTCCGAAGCAGGCAGCCCGTCTTCTTTTTTTATTCTGTATTATTTATAACTTTACGCTTCGGCGTCGTGTTTCTAATCAAATACCTTTCTTCTAAGGATGAAAAATCCTGGAAGTCTAGAACGTATATATAAACTTTATTTGAAGTATTAGCATTCAAACAGCCAGCTGAGGATGTGGCTTTTAGAGTTAGCATTTCAAAGAGAAGTGGGTGAAGCAGATAGGCAGTCACCCTGCTCAAGCAGTGAATTCCAGAGCAGGAGATCTGCAGATTAGGCGCAAGCGCCTGTCACTTCGGCGACTCGGGCTGTCTTGCAGGCATGAAAGATGAAAAGTTTTGTCGTATGCTGAAGCATCAGATCGATCTTAATGCTTGCTCTGCGTGAGCGACTTGTGCCATGACTTTATCTCCATGTCCTTGATGATGTTGATTAGCACGCTGATTTATAAAAGACAGGTTTTCATTAGCGTGGATGTTTATAACTTCCTCCGTAGGTAGCTTGCGGCCGGCTGAACAGTATTGCCTTTTATTTGCAAAGCCTCACGCGACTTGCATGCCATCCTCTCTCTTAGTTGGTAACGAATCGTGTATTATGGTGTGTTTTGGTTTTGTAGACAAGATGTGAAATGGAGAAGTACCTGGCACCTCAGCTCCCGCCCGTTCCCGTCATCCCCGAGCATAAGAAATACCGAAGAGACAGTGCCTCGGTTGTAGACCAGTTTTTCACTGACAGCGAAGGGTTGCCTTACAGCATCAACATGAACGTCTTCCTCCCCGACATTAGCCACCTGAGAACTGGCCTGTACAAATCGCAGCGGCCCTGTGTCACCCACATCAAGACAGAGCCGGTCACCATCTTCAGTCACCAGAGCGAAACTACTGCCCCTGCCCCCACTCAGGCCCTCCCCGAATTTACCAGCATCTTCAGCTCCCACCAAACTCCCGATGTGAACAACATTTTCATCAAGCAGGAGCTTCCTACTCCAGATGTTCACCTCTCCGTCACGCCCCAGCAAGGCCAGTTATATCAGCTCTTGAGCTCACCGGATTTAGATATGCCCAACGCTACTACCCAGGCAGCCGTGATGGACTCCCTGAACAATGTCTCCATGCCGTCAGCCATGGCGGGCCTTAACACGCTCTCCTCGGCTGTTCCACAGACTGCGATGAAACAGTTCCAGGGCATCCCCCCCTGCACCTACACCATGCCAAACCAGTTTCTGCAGCAGCAGGCCACTTACTTCCCTCCTTCGCCCCCAAGCTCAGAGCCTGGGAGTCCAGATAGACAAGCAGAGATGCTACAGAATTTAACCCCTCCTCCGTCGTACGCCGCGACTATAGCTTCCAAGCTGGCAATTCACAATCCGAATTTACCAGCGACTCTGCCCATAACCCCCCAGAACATCCAACCAGTCAGATACAACAGGAGAAGTAACCCAGATTTGGAGAAAAGACGTATCCACTACTGTGACTATCCCGGTAAGCAGTCTGTGCCAGAACATCCCCGCTCCTGCAATAAGCAAAGTGTGAATAATCGTGGGCGAGGTAGAAGTGGTTTTCTTTAGCTGTAGTCTACACCTAGGGAGAACCAAATGATTTCTTGTTAAAGAAGAATTTCTCTTCTTCATTGTCTTATTTTGTGCGGCACACTTTCACGTTCTTTAAATAACTTACACCCTTTTCTTCGTGTCATTTGTTACTCTCTTAAAACTACTGAGCTCATTTTACCGTGTTACAAAACTTGTACCCCACAGACAAAAGACAAAGGGAAAAAAAAAAAAGAAAAAAAAAAAAAAAAAAAAAAAAAAGAGATGGCCTTCTCTAATTTAAGTCAGTGTGACCATGCAGCTCCCGCTCCACTTTTACACTACCCCTGAGGGAGCAGAGGCTCAGTTTATCCGACGCAGTACAGCGCAGTTTGAATCTGCTGGCGCTGGAAGAGTCATTTCAGCTCCCTGTAGCCAAGGCCGTGGCTGTATCGTCCCTGTTATGAACGGGGGATTCGGCTGCCTGCATAAATCCATTAAAGCTGCCTCTGAAAACTGTCCACAGAAGATGGATTCCCTTCCAGCCTCTCCTCCTGCGCTGAAGGGGAAGAGGAACCTGACTATAAGCCGTGCCTCCACGTAGCACACGAATCCAGATGCAAGGCGCTCACACCCATCCGAGAGAGACTGGTGCTCGCGGTGGATCTCCCCCCTTACCAACCTAACTCTCAGCCGTGTATCACCCCTACGGTGTGTGCGCTATGATAAATGCCCCGGGTGACGATGACACCGAGTCTGGCTTGAGCAAATTCTCTAGGAAATTTTTAAAAAAATAGAGTCCCCCTCCGAGTTGTTTCTTCATGTAGCAGGTGTTACCGTACGTAGATTGTAGCAGCCATTGGTCTGTACTACATTACAAGGTAGTAAGTCTAACAGCAACATACGCGTTTTTCTCTTTTCTATGTAAAGCAACATCTCCCTAGGAGCTTTCTATATCAAATACTACTTTTAAATTGTGATGGTGCCAGAAGGTAGTAAATGTTTCCAGATAGTACCCCAGCGCGGAGTGAGGAAGTTAAAACCTAACATGGAGCGTTCCTGTTCTCCCTAATGAAACACCTCTCTGCTTTTTTGTTTTGTTTTGTTTTAGGCTGCACGAAAGTTTATACAAAGTCTTCTCACTTAAAAGCACACCTGAGAACCCACACGGGTATGTACTCGCTCTTTCGCTGTCTCTTGTTCGCTCAGGGCTTACGCATTTTCTGAGAAAGCAAGCATGTTTGATCTGCCATCTTCTCCCTGTTTTCTGTAGAGTGGTGTGGGTTCAGGCTGGCAGTTCAGTTAAAAAAAACTTACGATTTGGTCAATGAGAGGAAAAATTGCTTTTATTCTTAACGCAGTTTTGCTAAACCTGTTACAATGCAGAACTCAAAATAGCTGAGAATAAAAATGGAAGCTTTGCTTTTCAATCTAAAATGCCATGAAGTATTAAAAAAAATACTTTTTTCCCTTGAATAATGTTCTAAGCATAGTAAACATGTTACAGTTTCCAAGATTTATCTAAATAGATAGAATTTTCTGGTTTGGGCTTTCTCTTTGTCCTGTTAGAATTATTTAATCTTAGATTTTTGCAGAAACGTTACGAAAACTCCACTTGCTTCATCCTTAGTGTGCTTTATTTTAATTTTTTTTTTTTAAGAGAAGTGGTTCTATATATATTTTTATTTTTTTTAAAAGGGACATCATTTCAATTTTTTGTCCCTGAAAGGCATTAAAACGGAGGAAATGAAAAGTGTCAGTGCGTCACACTTGGTTTTTTGTACCTCGATCAGATTCTGCCTGCCGCTACAGGCGCAGTCCCTGTTGATGGGCCCGCGTGGAGCGGAGCTGGGGAACGGTGTTGCTTGTGCGTGGGCGCGGGAGCCACGCGCGCAGAGGACGGCGCCTGGGAGGTGGAACCGCTGTGGGTGCTCTGCCTAAGCGTTCACCTGCTGAGGCAGGGGGGAAGGAGGAGAGAGGGAGACCACGTCGCTCCCCAGCAGCGCACCTGAAACTATTCAGGACAGTTCTTTGCTGGGATCTTAGTACAGAACTGCTCATGCTAAATCAGTGAAAAGCACATGACTGATTTTGTAGAGAAATCGAATGAGAGGGCTGTGACTCCTGTTTTTAAAACCGAGCGTGAACCCCGGCTCTTTTCTGTGTGGACCTCGACTCAGAGCAACACGCGAGTCGCAGTTCAAGCAATTTGCTTATTGAAGCAGGCTGTCAGCACTGCGGCTGTGCCGTTCAAGTCAGGGGGTTTCACCTGAGTTTAAACCAAAAGTCAACCCAAAACTTAGCATGAGCGATGATCTAACAAAATGTTTCACTATCTCTGTGGAAACAAGGCCTTTTATTCAGCAGCTATTTTGAATGGATCATTGGATTATCGTAAAGAAATTGACTATCTCATGACTAAATGTTACTATGGAAATTTTGTTTTGATGAATGAGTTACTTGTGTTCCAGGCTCTGTAAAAAATTAAAAGCAACTGTGCAAAGATTATTGCTTTGTGTTAGCAATAGACTAAACAAGAACACCGTTAAAAATATTTTTGATATATATAATCACTCACTACCAGCAAGCTCAGTAAGGAAGGAGTATTTTCATGAGGCTGTAAACCTGAGTAATGTCAGAGTCCCATTGCTCTTTAATGAATAATCTGTAAGTTCAAGAGTGTGCGATTTCCACTTACGCACTTTAGCCAGCAACTAAATACTAGTTTTAAATATCTCGCTTGCTATTATACAATAACTAGGAAGAGAGATAAAAGCAAAGCTTTAATCTAAAAGTTAACATTACATAGTCATCATTTGAAACGTACACTTTTCCTTTTTTAAATCAGTTTATGTCTCTTTTGTACCTTGAGTAGAAATTACTTTAGGGTTTATAAAGTTAATACTTGTGTGCACAGAAATACATACCGCATCGCTAATATATATTGCTTAGGGTCACTAATGTTTATTGTTGCCTTCGCTGTTTTACCTATAGATATTTGACCTTAGAAATGTGGATAAATGAGCAAAGGTCAGAGGAGCTGATGTATTCATGGAAACAAGAATGTTGTTTTAGATAAAAATCTAGTGAACTTAAGCAGGTCTGTAATACAAAGGGTCTTCTGGGGAGGTGAATGAAGGGATAAACTGTCTAAAGCGTGCATTACATGCAAGAATGTGAGTCTGTATCCTGTTACCTTCATTATTTCAGAGTTTGGATTAGTTTAACTCTCTTGAATATTCACTTAATACTTGAAGATTTCCAGCACCGATTCTGATCTCCGCCTTAACATATGGTTGAAATGTGTATTACCCAGTACCATAAGTCGATTTGCTGAATGTTAAAGTAAATGGGCGAAAACTCAGGGAAACCTGTGGAGTTGCACAGCTCCTCCAGGAGAGCAGGGGAATCTCGCTATTGATCTCCAAAGAGAAGGCTCCATGCCGAGGGCTAAATTTGGGTGTGTGCCTCTGTGCACTGCATCCCCCAGAACTATGAATTCATATGGCCCTATTGAGCTTTGATTTCTTTTTTTTTTTTTTTTTTTTTTTTTTATAAAAGGACTCTTGTGAAGCTTTTACCTTCAAAGTCTAAAGCAAGTGTCACGTAATCCATTTTAATAAAGTTGTGTGTGATATTCTTTCAAATCCCTGCAGGGATAGCAGACCTGTTTATCTGGCTAAACCCGTTCTTTAGTAATCATGGACCACTGAAGTTGTTTTCTCCTTATTCTTAGTTTCTTAACAATACCTTTTAAAATTGGCTGCAGTCTCTCTCTCATCCCAACCAGTCCCCGCCCTTCTCAGCAATCTGTCATCTTAAAATAAAAGAGCCTGCAGCAAAGTTTGTCTGCCATTAAAAGTCAGGACAAACCTTATGGTTTTCCTTTTGTATTGGAAAATCTCAGCCTTTTTCACAGTATTTATTTAGCAGCCTTTCTCTTCTGAAGGGTTTTCACTGGGTTTAGTAGACCTTTTTTGAGAACAAACCCAAGGGAAATGTTGTTTTTTCTGAAAGGTGGAATGTAGGCTGTAGTCTTTTTTTCCAATTGAGATATGAACACGGTGTCAGGCTTGATATTTAAATAAAACTATAGGAAGTGGGCAAGAGAAAATCTCTTACTTTTTCCTTCTTAGGCGTTCCCAAGGTGTTTACCTTACACTAAGTCAGGTGGTATAGGCAGGTATAGTTATTCTGATTTACTGTAATTACCCTGGACTTTTGCTGTTGATTAGGAATCCAGTATTCATGTAAAGAGATAAGCAGGGTTAATGTATTTGTACCAGTCGCTGAAGCAGGCACCAGTTTTTCTTTCTCTAGGTAACAGTTCAGTGTTTGTAAATAAGGAGGTAAATTTTAGTTGTTGGTAAACTGGTAACCCCAAAGTTGAAGAGGAACAAAAGATTTGAATGCTGCAAAGATACAGGACATTTTGTATCCATCTCCATGCAGTTCTGGAGCAGATGTCTGGTACATTTTAATGCCTTAAAACACTTCTGTATGGTATCTTAACTTGGCATTAGTTATTCCTAAAACAGGAATGTTCAGGTATTCAGTGTGCTAAAGTACCTGCTGGAACATCTCTCAGAACAGACTGGATTTTTTGACCTTTTGAAGCAGGGATCATCTAAAATAATTCTACCTGCTAGTCATGGAACAAGTTTCATTTCATAACTGGCATTGTGCAGCTACGATATATAATGGGGGAGGGGGTTACGCATTTATTGCGGGCTGTCCAGCAGTAAAATCACCTTAAGGTTCTGGCATAACAGCTCTGTGTCCAACTTGAAAAACATGCCAAATGTCAGTGAAGAGGAGTTACTTTTCTGTTGCAGATAAACCTCCTTCGGTTCCTTTTCTGGCATCCAACTATACACATGTATCCCGACTGATCCTTTAGAAACAGCAGCCTATAACTTACCCTATTAGGATTTCTTTGTATGTTAAAAATCTGGACTGTGGAAGTTGAGCCTTTGATATGCAAGCCCCTGGAATACCCTACCTGTACCCTACCTGTAACGCTGCGGAAGAGCTGCTGGCTCCAGGGTGGGGGGGGGTTCTTTATTACTTCTGTGAACAGCTGCACAGTTCAGAACGGTGTATGGTTTTAAGAGGAAAATCTGTCATTGTTTTGAACACATCAAGGCATGCACATTGAGGACATTTTCCAGCTGCATGTTGGTTTTCCGTATACAGAGTCTTTGTACAGGCATGTTCTCGGGTCACATGGTGGGCTTGCCATTAATAGTTTCTAGCATTAGCTGCAGAACTATTTCATCTCTATCTATAGATCTAGTTTGTATTTGGTGATGGGAAGTGGAAGCCGAGATAACTCAAGAGAAATGGCATTTCTCTAAATGAGATGCACTCAAAATACTTCCACCATCCCTAGTTATTTCAAATGTTTATATAGGCATGGGACAGCTGCTGACTCATGTGGTTCCTCAAGGTGTTAAACGTTTTATTTTATTTTAGATCTCTGCCTCAATAGATCCAGAATTAGGCTCTGATGGTAACTCAGAATTAGAACCAGTTGTGTGCAGCAGGCTCCAGCAGTCCATAGGACCTGGCAATCTGAATTTACCAGAGCTTGTTAAAGGTGATACCGTATAGACTTGCCCGGGAATTCAGGATGCCCCGTTGTTCAGAAGGGAGGGCGAATGGTAGTTGGACTCCTGCTGGAAAAAAGTCACCTTGCGAAAACATGTATTGACTCAAATCATCCTGAGACCTAGGTGAGGGATTTCACCTCTGGTGTGCAAGTGGGGAATGGAGGCCCCAAAAGACTCTGCCTTGCTCATGGTTGCAGCGTTCTGTGTACGTAGCAAACCTCATCCTGGAAAAATCTTTGCATCATGAGAATAGCTGTTAAGTAATATTTCTGTGCAGATTCTGCCTCTTTAACCTGTTGGATGAGTCAGTTGCATGGTTATACTTTAAGGAGGTGTCAGTAAATGCCATCATTGATAGAGACAATAAGGAAAAATGGAGGAGAGTTAAATAAAACTGTTGACAAAGTGCATTAAAGTGCAGTGTTGCTAGACACTACTGGAGAATATGCTGGTATCTTTTATTTATGAATTCTGCTAAATCCATTAGTTGCCTGTGTGAGAAATGGAAGTACATTATTTTCCTGTGCAAACCACAGTTTAAGGGAAAATAATGGATTTT